TAGGCTCCCTTTAGGTATTGAAAGGCTGCAATGAGGTCACCCCGCAGCCTTCTTTTCTCCAGGCTGAACAAGCCCAGCTCCCTCACAACGAAGACATCTCTATATATTCAGGCTCATATTTTGTACCTTACTTGGTCCCCACAAATTTAGGATGATAGTCATTTTCCTACAGGAGTTGATGATTTGGCTAGTCTTTTATAGTCATGACACTAAGCAATTTTCTTTTATAACTTTTACTATCTCCCACAGGCCAATTACATACACTGCCAGGAAAATAAAGGTTTGGCTTCCACTAGGAAAGAGGTAGCTCCATCTCTTCAGTTATCAAGTTCCCTTGAGCTCACTTAATTCAGGTATCTATAAGAGGCAATAGACCTAATGTTTCTCAGAACAAGGCAATTAATGCAGAGTACTTTCATAGTGAGTGAAGTATGAGCATCCATTCTGTGGGATTTCAGTGATTCAAGAAGGAAAAGACCTCATTGTTAGATGCAGTTCAGTTTAACAGTAGAATCTTTCGCACCACTTTCAAGAAGCCTTACTGCGAATACAAATCATAGCAATGAACAGTTTGACCAGTGCTGAAAATGAGTGGCAAAATGGATATGAAAGAGGCACATATTTGGAGAGGAGTTTGTAAGTGACAGTTTACCTGTATGATATCATCCTGCTGGAAGGCACAGAAATTAAATTGAAAGAAGCTGTAAGAGGGAGACTGGCAGGAAATGAAACAACAGCAAATACAAGGGATTATCAGAAAGAACAGACTTCCCTGAGAAAACAGTGGAAAAGCTATTAAACAAGAATTAATCATGTGCTATTCTATGCTACAATATCTCCTATTCTCTATTGGCCTGCAAAAGTTTATTGTGCCTACAGTAAAACTTATTTTAAAAATTCTGAAGAGTTAGTGTCAAATATTGAAGGTTAGCAGGAGCTCAAAGACAAAGCAAAGTGTCTAGGGGAGACAGCTAGAAGAGGAATGGTACGAAAATGCTGATAGCAGACAGAGCTGCACTAGGTGGAGGAACACTGACAAACGCTTGCAAGGGAATACACTTTTTTCTTTTTCTTTTTTCTTTTTTTTTGTATTACAAAGTAGTTACTAAATAATCAATCCCAAAATGTTTGATGGCAAAAAAAAATAGTAGAGCCTGCATAGTCACAACTTCAAGCTGCATTCAGTGTAATTTCAAAACCAATAGCTCACACTATTAAACCATTCAGCACGCTTCCAGCCAGGCTTTTGGGAAGAAACCAATGATAACTGCAGAAGGAATAGACACAACATCGTTCCAGACACTAAACAGCACTGGTGCTAAATACAGTAAGTAGTCAATACTTGAAAAAGCTTGGCATAACTTCACAATTAGCAACAGTCACTTAGAACATATCCACTAGGCATAAATTGATGTGCCTTAACACTGGTAATCCCAAATACTCCACCTGGACCTGTTGGATGCTAAGAACTTTCAGAAATCCACCAGACAATGGAAAACAGATCTACAATTCATACTCTTCTTTTACAAAATAGTCTCTCTCATTGCTATTTCATACTGAGAACAGTGTCATTTGTTACTTGGTTTGCAGTTATGAGGGAAAACTAAAACATCCTATCCAGATGTGGAAGGGTAAACACAGAAGCCTTACAATGCTGCATTTCTGTACCCATTGCTTGGACCTGAAGTCAACATAGAAGTTACTGATAGCATCAGCAGCAAGTTGTTATCAACAAGCAAATTAGAAACACAAATATTAGAAGGATATAATTTCCTGTAGAACAAGTTCAAGTTTTCTGAAATCACAGTTTTGCTGAAAGGTCCATGTGCCACAGAAGGAACTCCACACAGCCAGAGACATTGGACTGAATGCCAATGACCTTTCCAGCAAGATTAGAATCTGTAGCAAGGCATAGGTGCTGTCATTTCCTTGTGAAGGCAGCAATATTTTATGGAAAAACAGGACTCTTTCCAGAAATAAGGCTACAAAATACACTTTTTTTCACTGTCAAGTCAAATTTCCAGCTCCTCACTCAAAATTCTCATAAAAGCTAGCCTCTGAAATGATCAGAAAGATTTTGGCTAGTTATTTATGTTTCTAATATTTTGAGTATATTCAAATAAACACTGATGGAGAAGTATCAATTAGTGAACTGATGAAACAGCAAAAGAGAACTGTAAGTATTCTCTGAAGGAACGGTTATCTGTTGTGATACAGTGTGCTAAGTTCCTCTACCTGAGATCTCTAAACTAAGAACTTGTTCATCAATGCTTCCAGGTATGGGTCATTCCCACAAAACCTGAATAAAGAGTTCCTTTTCATATCATTAGTTTAAGTAAGTATTTAATCACTTAAGATCAATTCTCACTTAATTTGCAGCATCTCCCAAAAGATTTTTAAAATTATTATTTCAACATTATACATCAGAAGAATGTGTT